TGTTCCAAAAAGTATTCTTAATCTATTTAAAATATCCGTTCTAAAAATCACTCTCATGTATATATGTTTATATTTTTTCTTAATTCTAACTCTAAAATCATAATCCTTAAAACAAACCATAAATCCAACATTGCCTTTTAATCCATTACACAATTTTAAATTTCTCTTTTCAGTCTAATTCTAGCTTTTTTCCTGTGTAAAAAAGGTTTCCATAGGGACACTTCCCTTTCAGCCAGTGGATCTATCTTTATTGCTTGCAGTAGCCTTTGAAATAATAGAAATCCCATCTTCTGCATTAGACATCTATTTCTCTTCTCCTTGAAGTGTCGTTGCTTTGTAGTTTGAAACCTCAGTCTTTGCTTCTTCTGTTCCTCAAAGTTGCAGATGGAAGGTTTGTAAGATAGAATAAGTTCCTCTTTTATCTCTGTTGATTCATCTTCTAATATATTTTGATTTATACCATAGTCAGATGTAGCCTGGACGTCCATTTGAACATTTGAAGTGAAATCTCTGGATCTTAGTTTTGTAGTAAACTTTTTCATTGTAGCACATATTTCTGCAGTAACCTCATAGATCTTTTCCAATATAAGTGTACAGTTTAAATGTGTCCTGTCATCTTTTTGAGAGTTTTTTTTCCTGGATAGTTAAAAAAGAAAAAAGGAAGGAAGTTCTCTCATTTGCTTCCTCTGTGAGCCTCTAGATAAAATGTATTTTGTGGATAGATGTCCTGCCCTTTTTTTTCTTTCAGGACAATCTCATTGCTGTTTGGAAAAATTAATGCTGATTTGAAATTATTCAAAATATTCTTAGCCAGAAATTTAAGTATGCAGTAAGCTAGACGAACAGTTTGAACCAGTCAGATGGAGGAACAAAACAGCCAAATACTGAAGTCCATAGAGATCCCTCCCTGTCTCAAGGGCAAAACCAAAAACTATAACACTGCTGTGACCTTAAATGTCTTGAATAGAGATCTGAATAGCTAGTTTGCTTATTTAAAGTAGAACTGTTGCTTGGGACTGAGGCTCTTTTTTACATTTAAGTTTTAAGTTATAACTTTAAAGGGACAAAAAGAAAGAATGGGAGTGATTTACTTAAATGTCACTGTTGTGAAGGAAACTTGTCAGCTCACTTTCTTGCCAAGAACAGGGTAGCTGTATAAAGATAAAGAAACTATTTTCAATAGAATGGCTTAAATTCAGAAGTGTCTTCAAGTTCCTGCTTATAATGTTCTAAATTGGTTTGTTGTGGGTTGTTGTTGTTTTTTAATGAGAAGGAAAGGCTCCTATCTTCTAAGGACTATACAGGGATCCCCACCTCAGGGACAAAACCAAAACAGAGAACATACCATCTACAGCATAAACTTTATTTTTTTAGAATGAGAATCTTGCAATCACACTGTTTATTTATAGTATGGCTTCTGCTTGCCTAAAAATGTTGCAGACTTTTTTTCAATATGTACAGTAGTTTTCTAACTTTGATGGGAAAGGAAAGTAATAGAGATGTATTTAAACTTTGTAATTGTGAAGAAAACCTCTCGGTTTCCTTGAAAAGAAGAAAAAAGAAGCTGCATAAATTAGCACAGTCATAGCAAAACCATTATTTTTTTTTTCTTTTACATTTTTTTCTTTTCTTGCAGCATCTCATTAAAGTATTTTTCTCAACCCCCTTTGAAAAAAGGTTAAAATTGTGTGTGGAACTGTTTGTGCATTTTATATAAGGCCACTCAGCTGAGTTTTGCCTAAGACTTTGTGTCTTCTAACCCAGTGCCTTAACCACTACAACAAAGGGGTTCTCGTGATAAATATAGTCGATATCCTCAACTTATGACCACAATTGAGCCCAAAGTTTCTGTTGTTAACTGAGGCATTTGTTAAGTGAATGTTGCCCCATTTTACAATCTTTCTTGCCACAGTTTTTAGGTGAATCACTGCAGTTGATAAGTTAGTAACACAGTTGTTAAATAAATCTGGCTTCCCCATTGACTTTGCTTGTCAGAAGGTCACAAACGGAGATCCTGTGACCTTGGGACACAGTAGTGATCATAAATATGAAGCAGTTGCCAAGCATCTGAATTTTGATCATATGATCATAGGGATGCTACAAAGGTCGTAAGTGTGAAAAATGGTCATAAGTCACTTTTTTCACTGCCATTGTAACTTTGAACAATCACTAAAAGAACTGCTGTGAGTCGAGGACTACCTGTATTGTGAGCCAAATTGTCTTATATTATGGATAACACAGACAATTTTTTACAAATATGCATTATTTTATTGATATTTTGTAATATCTACAGTCTTAAATCCTTTATAATTCTGCTTTGTAAATTTAATGCATCCCTAAGTACGGTTGTCGACAAAGAGACTGCAAACTCTGGTGAAGTGTATTTGTAGAAGTTTAATGATAAACATATAACATCTCTCTTAATGTTTTTCTACCTTCTTCACTTTTACTGCCCTCTTGAACTTCTCAATCAACCTCCAGGAGGCACTGCGATCCTAGTGGTTAAGGAATTCCATATTCCAACTTCACCATAGAGTTTTTGGGTGATTTTGAGCCAAACTCTGAATCCACTCTCTCTGTCCTACCTTACAGGATTTTATTTGGAGATAAAATGAGGATAAAATTCCCTGAATGCTACTTCAACTCCTACAGTACAGTAAGACTATTAATAACATATGTAGAAATAAATGACATTTGAATATTTAGTTACTCATCATGGAATTTTTATAACTGGAGAAGAAGCATATCAACACAATCCACTAGTCTGGCATAATTCTTCTTCCAAGATGAAGAAATAATAACTGATATTTGACCTTGTTTACAAGGCTAACTTCAATGATAATCCAATCTATTTTGCTGCTTGAGGCAGAGCATAATACCCTACGTCAATCAAATTATTTTAGCATCTGTGCTTCAGAAGAGCCTTTCCCTGTTTCTGGCAGCAGCATATAATGGTAAACATAATTATTTGGTGCCACTTCATAACATCTATAATATGGAGCATGAAACAACTGTATTATGGTAAGATCAGTTCTAAACTCTTTGTGGACAAGACTAGGGAGAAGCAGGCTTATTTCTGCATTAATCTCATTAGAGGATTGTTTTACTTGCTTTTTTTAATGTATTGCTTTTTAAATGATTTATGTAGATTATCAATGATTACTGCATTGAATTTTTTCTCTGCTCATTTTCTGCTTTCTGGTGTACTATGCAATTGTGAGCTTCTAGACAATAGACAGACTTACAATACTTTAAAATAAATATATCCCATTTTTGTCTCATTCTGTGGCAGGTAGGACACAAACCTCTGTGAGCATATGTAGCGCATTAGCTTTCTTATACTTTAGAGTTATTTATTTAATCAACATGATGGAACTGGCCAATTCTGAGTGGCTTGTAATAAGAACAACTCTTTAAAGAAAAACCAATAAAATGGCCAAATCAATGAAAACCAAAAAGAACAAGACATGATTATGAAAATTATTCCACAAAACATGGCTTTGGGAAAGATGCAGATTTTGAGGCTTGTTTAAAGTATGGCCAGGCCAAGGCAATTCAGATCTCTGGGGAATAATATTGTAGGTACCATAACAGAGAAAGCCTGATTCCTGGGAGCCTTTAGATCAGGGTCCCCAACCCCAGGCTGTGGCCCACTACTGGGCTGTAAGCAGTGGTGGGATTCAAATATGTGAACAAGCTGGTTCTCCATGTGGTTGCTGCTTCCGGAAGTCCATTCTGGCCCTGGGCAACAAAAAATTAGCTACCGGTTCTGCTGAACTGGTGCAAACTGGCTGAATCCCACCACTGGCTATAAGCCATTCGGAACTGTGCTGTGGAAGTAGTGGGCAAGTGCACATGTATATCCCCACTTGCACGAGCAGCGGGCAAGCACATTTGTGCATGCTCCATTTGCATGAGTGGCAAGTGTATGTGCTTGCCATTTATATGGAACCATCCCTTCTCCCCCGCCCCGCCTGTCCACAAAGCCAGAAAGTTTGGGGAATTCTGCTTTGAATGACATTGACTCAGAATATATACCCAATGGGCTGAAGTAAGCAGAAACAATGAGAGAAAGGTGGTTCCACAGATAGTCAAGCCCTATGCTATGAAGGATCACCACCCTACCTTGAATTCCATCCAGAAACTCACCAGTAACCATTTTAGCTTGCACAGAAAACATGTTCCATGAGTATTTTGAGGCATGCCCACAACTGCTGATGCAGCTCCATTCTGGACATGTTACCATTTCCTTCATGCAGCGTGTTGTGTGATCAAACTGCTATGGGAATTGATGTGTTTTGTGTTTGAAATTTGTTGTGAAAGAAGTTGCAGTAGAAAACCCATACCCTCTGTTCAGCATATTATGCTCCGGTGATTCATTGTTCCCTGATCATTTTCTTTGTTCAGTTGACTTGATTGAATTCTTTATAGCTGCTGATAAAGAAATAGCTGGAGGTTAAAAATGCCACTAACTGTAGTGATTACATTGGTTTTTGCAGAGCTGTAAGCAGGAAGAATAATGTCAGTACATGTTTATTTCTGTGGCTGCACTAGTAAATCTATCGTACATTGCAAATAATAATAATAATAAAGTTGGATACAAGGCAGAAAATAAAGCAACATTGATTTTGATAATGTTATTTATTATCTTCATTCTTGTGTAATACAAAAAAGCATTGAAAATGAGAGAAATGCAAAACCTGTGGAAACTCTAAGGGAAAGAATAGAGTAAGATATATGGTAATTAAAGCACTGGCAGTGAGATAAATGCAGGTAATGTCTGTTTTGTATTGACCAGGTCTCTTTTGCTAAATAAATGTTATATATTATTAATGTCATTTAGAGTGGCAGATAAAAACACAGACTATATTTCTTATATGTAATGAAGTTATACGGCTAAATTACATATCCCTAAAATTTCTTCTTTATATATGCGTTTCATTTTAAACAAAAATCAATTTACAGTCAGCTGGAGTGTCTGTTCTATATTGTTGTATTAGATTCAGATTGTGTGAAGATGAATAGGAAAGTGCAGCAAGCATGACATCTCTGGCCAACATCGTTCCTTCCCCACAGTCTGAGTGGGTCTCCTTCAGTGACGGACTTCACCGTTCTGTTACTTCCCAAGGTAAATCTCTCCTCTTTGATGACATAGGTTCTTGCTATTTATTGAAACGAATAAGCATTTCAATTCAGGTATAGTCAAAAACAAAAATCTCTTGTGGCTTTCAATGAGTACAAGTTCTACATATGTACAATTCTCCGTCCCCATCCCCCCCACTTGTGGGATTCTATCACTTACCAGAAGAAGACTCCTTAAAAAGACTTAAGGAAAACATTGTGTATGTCCCTTGCGATTATCCTGATCTCCTGATCAGATCCCAGATGGTCCACTATAAAATGTAGTAACAGTTATGGAAGCAAGTATAAGGGATAGCTAGGAGTGTCCACGGTAATTTTAAAATTTAAAATTATAAAAAAACTGGAAGTTTCCAGCATTCTTGAACAAAAAATTGTTGGATTTTGGAATGAGAATTGTTAAATCTTGGGGGAAAATTGAAACTGGTAAGGTTTCAGGTGATTAAAAAAAGATTTTTGAGAAAAGAAGCCTAGTGTCAAAAATGTTGTCTAATGCTGAAATATAATATTATAGTGAACCCCATCAGATATTAAGCTCATTGGGTAAATTTGGATCATTCACTCAGTATATCACAGAAGATGGCAATGAAGATAAAATGAGGCCATGATGTCCAGTTTCCTTGGCTTCTGGAAGGAAACAGGATAAATATAGTCCTAAGGATCTGATTTCAGTTAAGTAACTAGGACAGAGTAGATCATGGTTTAAAAGGAGAAAGAGAATGCAGTAGTATGCTTTGACACAATTATGTTTAAAGAAATGAGAATTGTATTAGTGTAAATTGAAATATTGGTCAAATGAAACCATTTATGGGATTTCTTCCACATCTACAGTTCTATGGTAACCTGGGCAGAACTTTTTGTTACAAAAACTCAAGGCTAAGGAGTTTCTGTAACAAAAAGGAAAAAAGTAGCAGTCCTTTGCTAATTTTCCATTTCCTCCTGTAGTATCTTCACTTTACACCCCATATGTTGCCATTTTAATATGTATTTGCCCATTTCTTCTACATAATAACTGAGTTCTATTTGACAATGCTCTGTTGAATAAGCTTTGTTGGCTGGATTTAGTTATAATATAAAGTCATAGACCAGGGCTTAGATTTCACAAAAATTGAGTTTGTATGTCTTACTTATCAGTCCAAACAAACATAGGGGAGTCTGAAGGTAGAAGAAGAGAGTATGAAGATACTCAGTTTGACTACTGTGTTTTCCTGTTCAGCAAACACAGAGCTTTAAAGTCTTCTTTACTGTTCACATACCATATGTTAATGGATGATAAAGTTGTGTGTCCTTCTTAAACAATTAGTGTGATGTCATATTACTCATTTTTATAGTAGGGTTCTCATTACAGGTTATACTAGGAAGCCAGTTGAGAGATTTCTTTCCTCCTCTGATACTTCCTCTGAAGGCAACCAAAATCTAGATGGAGAACTGCCAAGTCTTTCACATGCTGAATTGGGAGAAAGAATAAACAAAACAGCTGTAGGCCTTGATCTGTCTTCATCCTTCAGCACTTGGGTCCAGTTTGAAGATGCACCCTGGACCAACAGTTCACCAGAGCATCCACGTACAGGTTGGAATGTCACTTGTTTATTGTGTATTATAGAAGAAATTAACAATAAGCCATATTACCTTTTACCAACCTGATACTCTCTGATGTCCTAGATTAGAATTCCCATCATCACTCAATTAGTATTCACAACCTAGTGGATATTAATTGGATTAATGAGGAAACTGGGATGGTAATATATAATAATAATAATAGTAAAGTTGGAAGGGACCTTGGAAGTCATCTAGTCCAACCCCCTGCTCAGGCAGGAAACTCTATACCATTTCAGACAAATGGCTGTCCAGTCTCTTCTTAAAAACCTCCAGTGTTGGAGCATTCACCACTTCTGGAGGCAGGTTGTTCCACTGGCTAATTGTTCTAGCTGTCAGAAAGTTTCTCCTTAGTTCTAGGATGCTTCTCTCCTTGCTTAGTTTCCACCCATTGCTTCTTGTCCTGCCTTCAGGCGCCTTGGAAAATAGCTTGACACCCTCTTCTTTGTGGCAGCCCCTGAGATATTAGAACACTGCTATCATGTCCCCCCTCGTCCTTCTCTTCATTAAACTAGACATACCCAATTCCAGCAGCTGTTCCTTATATGCTTTAGCCTCCAGTCCCCTAATCATCTTTGTTGCTCTTCTCTGTACTCTTTCTAGAGTCTCAACATCAATCGTGGTGACCAAAACGGGATGCAGTATTCCAAGTGTGGCCTTACCAAGGCATTGTAAAGTGGTATTAACACTTCACGTGATCTTGTTTCTATCCCTCTGTTAATGTAGCCTAGCACTATGTTGGCCTTTTTGGCAGCTGCAGCACACTGCTGGCTCATATTTAGGTGATTGTCCACTACGACGCCGAGGTCCCTCTCACCCTTACTACTAGTGAGCAAGGTACCCCCTATACTATATCTGTGCATTTGGTTTTTCTTGCCTAAATATAGAACCTTGCTTTTTTCACCATTGAATTTCATTTTGTTAGATAGTGCCCAAGTCTGTCCAGATCCTCCTGTATCTTAAGCCTGTCTTCTGGAGTGTTGGCTATTCCTGCCAGCTTGGTGTCGTCTGCAAATTTGATGAGTTCCCCATCTATCCCTTTGTCCAAATCGTTGATAAATATGTTGAAGAGCACTGGGCCCAGGACACCTGGGGCACCCCACTAAACACTTTCCTCCATGGAGATGCGGTTCCATTGAGGACCACACGCTGAGTATGGCCGGTCAGCCAGCTATGGATCCATCTGGTGGAGGTGGTGTCTACCCCACATTTTTCTATCTTGTTGAGTAGTACGTTGTGATTGTCAAATGCCTTACTGAAGTCCAAGTAAATTATGTCCACAGCATTCCTCTGATCCACTAATTTTGTCACTTGGTCAAAGAATGCAATAAGATTTGTCTGGCATGATCTATTTTTGACAAACCCATGTTGGCTTTTAGTAATGACTTTGTTTGCCTCTAAGTGCTTGCTGATTCGTTGTTTGATTATCTTTTCCAGGATCTTCCCAGATATTGATGTCAGGTTGATAGGTCTGTAATTTCCTGGGTCCATTTTTTTCCCCTTTTTTGTAGATGGGAACTACATCAGCTCTTTTCCAGTCCTCTGGTAGTTCCCCTGTGCTCCAGGATCTTTGAAAAATATAGTTCAGTGGTTCAGAGATCACATCTGCCAGTTCCTTGAGAACCTTGGGGTATAATCCATCTGATCCTGGCGATTTGAACTCGTCTAGGCTGGATAGGTACTCATACCATTTTCTTGCCTATCTTAACTTGTGTTTCTATTCTGTTTTTTATGGCACTATTTTTGATAGGTTTGTCTGTTTTTTCCCTTTGTGTAAAGACAGATGCAAAAAACGAGTTAAATAGTTCTGCTTTCTCCCTGTTGCTTGTCACCTTGTTGCCACTTTCACCCACTAATGGACCAATCATTTCCTTCACTTTTTTCTTGTTTTTTACATGTTGAAAGAAGCTTTTTTTGTTATTTTTGACTTTGGTCACAAGCCTTAGTTCATTTTGAGCCTTGGCATCCCTCACTTCATCTTTGGAGGCTCGGACTATTTGCTGATATTCTGACTTAGTTATATGCCCCTCTTTCCACTTTTTATATTTCAATTTGTCAGAGAGTTCTTTATGCAGCCATGCTGGTTTCTTTTGAGAGCTGTTATTTTTCCTCTTTGTTGGTATAGTTCAGCTTCTTTCAATTGGAGAGTTTGGAGGTTTCTGTACTGTTTGACCTAGGATGTTTAAGACTCAACTTGTTCTGTGGATGCTTCTTAAGCTTGTTGGTAAAGGAATTAATTTTCTAAGCCTTGATGTAAAGCATTTCTATTTTACAAAAGTGTATGTGTATATTGATATTGCCCAAAGTCAATGTATCATCCACATATTAAACAGGAATATTGTAATATGTTTTCTACACAGATTGTTGGTTATTGCCTTATTTGCTAAGCTTTTTAGGGGAACAATGGATAGTAGTTTTTCTAGACCAGACATGTCAAACTCGCGACGTCACATGACATCGTGCAACATATCAGAGCTTTTTCACCATTGCCAGCAACGGGGTGGGCACGGTTTCCCGATGACGCGTCCGGCCCATGGGCCAGTAATTTGATACCCTGGTTCTAGACTCTATGTATGAAGGGGACCTAATCTGAATTTTGATTCAGTATTTCAAACAATTAGATGAAGAGATGTTTTTCATTTAAGCAAATCAGTAAAACTGTAACATCGAAGGATTGGGTTTCATACAGACTCTTGTTTCTGGAATATAAATAAATAAAACAAAATAATTGTTGATCTAGGACCGTGGTGACGAACCTATGGCATGCGTGCCACAGGTGGCACGCAGAGCCCTCTCTGTGGGCACCCACACCAAACCCCCAGTCCTAGGCCTCCAGCTGGGTTTTATAAAACCTTTTCGCTTTAGGCCTCCGCCAACATGTGCCAAAAAAAAAAAAAGTTCAATCAATCAATCAATTTCAACTCGCAGGGAAAAAAAGATCTTGCAAAGTTGGAATTGATTGATTGAACTTTTTAGTCTCACCCAGTCTGCCGTTACCACCGCAGCCACGCCCACCCAATGGGCCATGCCCACCCAGCACCCAATGATACATAAGTGGGTTTTGGGTTGCAATTTGGGCACTCGGTCTCTAAAAGGTTTGCTATCACTGATCTAGGATGTGGTGAAAAATAGGGGAACTAATTAATATTTCGTCCCAGTGATCAGAGTATTTTTCTTTCATTTTATTTTTTTAAAAAAATAAATATTTTTGAAAAGCTTTGCTAGATGAAAGAGTTTCACAGACTTGAAATATGAAGACAATTATTTCTTTTTTGTTGCTGCTTTAGAAACAAACATAGAGTCCAATTTAGAAACAAACAACTTTAGCCCTTTTTCACCAGCCTTCAGCATCAGGGCCAGAAGGAAATTTTCATTGCTATCTGATTGTTTTTTAATATGGAGATGCCTTTTTTCTTGCACATATGTGCTGCATTACCAGTAACAGAGGTATATTACTGATTAGATTACAGTTTTTAAATATGTAATGTTGAGATTAAAATACTTATTAACTTTAACTTTTTTAAAAAATAAAGATTCCTATGTTTTCATCTAATTTTGCAAATAATGGAATATGAAATATGAACTAGTATGGTATCAGTGGGATGATAGGGAAACAACTAAATCACAACTTAAGAAGTGACTTTGATCATCACCTCTAAACTCTTTGTCTCCTGTGGAAAAATTTGAAGCCAGTTGGCTATCCATTAGTTTTACTGATCTACACCCTGGAATTTATTGAGGCATGAAAATAGAGTTAGAAAACATCTGTTTTGATTGCAATGTGTAGCTTACACTCTCCTCAAGTATTTTGTCTGATAAATAACAGCCCTGGTAAATAATAACCTGATAAAATAATTCAGGTGACAAGGAAGTTATCTCACATCCTTGGAAAGACTTATTCACAATAGGATAAATCTCACATGATACTTATTATCTAGCCTGGTGCTAAAAATATTAAGTCAGAGTTATAGCAACAGAAAGAAAGCAATAACTAGAAATGAAGAGATATTAAAGGTACTGTTTGGTGTCAGGGTAAAAGCTTATTGCAGTTGAGTTGCTGAAAGTGTTGTCAGCAGTCCAGTCTGCTTTAGTGTAACTTGCTTTCAAATATAGAATAGCACTGCAAGGACACAATATGGCCAAAAATATTTGGGATGAATTTCTCAGAAAAAAATTAAACCAGGTAGAATTTTATTTTGGGGTGTATGGAATGATAGTTAGGATTTTAATAGTTGTACTGGTAATTGTTTTTTGAATATGGGATTTGATAGCTATAACCATATTCAGATACTCTTGGAGTATGTACAGATGAATGTTTGCAGATATGAGACAAGGATAATAAAAGTGGGGGCAGATGTTCTTAGCCTTTTTCCATGCATATATCATTCCTGTGTGAACATATAGACTGTGCATATGAAAGTTTTATATATGTACTGCCTGACATTCTGTTTTAAAAAAAAAGTTTAGAAATGTTGTATGCATGTAACCGAATAACCTATATTAAAGGTTACTTTGAATGTGATCTACAGCAAACCTCAGACTTCCAGGTTTCTTTCCCCTACTCCTTCCAGCAGAGTTAATTCTCCAGAAGAGTTAAAAATTACTATCTTCAGATTTAGTAATTTTATGTGGGATGAGGATGAGAATGCAACTAACAAATCAGAATATATGAAACAGTATTTAAGGGAAAGCAATCTTAAATTCAATAATAATTCTGTCATCATAATAAGGTGGAAGCCACTTAAATCCCAAATCATCAGGATAAATCTGGCATTACATCATCTGTCTCAGGAAGTTAAGAATTGTTCTATATAAGTTCCATTTTTCTCTGTTAATATTAATCTTCTTAATTTATAGAAGCATTCAATCTGCCTAACACCAAAGATTATCACCTAGAAGAAATCTGAAATGTGTTAATAGAATTGGTTTTGTTCTGCTTTGTTCTCTGTTCTGTCTTTCCTGTCTGATGTCATACAGACTGTTACCTTCTTTATGACCAACTTCAGCTTTTTTTCTGAGCCAATCTAACTGGCTTTGTCATTTCTGTGCTGTTTGTGTCCTTATATAAATATTGGAACTATACAGCACAGTTAATAGGCATTGCCCTGTTACAAATCAAGTTAAGTTATAGTCAGCCAAAATTTCTGTCGGTAAGGACATAGAACATAGAATAATAGGGTTGGAAGGAACCTTGGAGATCTTTTAATCAAACTCTCTGATCATGGCAGAATATCCTATACCATTCCAGACTTTCTTTGTGCTTGATGGGATGGATGAACGTGACCATAGAATAACAAAATAACAAAACAGAATAATAGAGTTGAAGGAACCCGGAGGTCCTCTAGTCCAACCTCCCCACCCAAATAGGAAACCCTATAACATTGCAGACAAATGGCTGTCCAAATTCTTCTTAAAAACCTCCAGTGATGGAGCACCAACAACTTCTGAAGACAAGCCATTCCACTGGTTAATTATTCTCATTGACAGGAAATTTCTCCTTATTTCTAGGGTGCTTCTCTTGTTGATTAGTTTCCATCCATTTCTTCTTGTGCTGCCCTCAGGTGCTTTGGTCAATAGGTTGACCTCATCTTCTTTGTGGCAGCCATTCAAATAGTGGAAGACTGCTATCATGTCTTCCATAGTCCTTCTTTTCACTAGGCTAGACATATCCAATTCCTGCAGTCTGTTTTAGCCTCCCTAATCATCTTTGTTGCTCTTCTTTGCACTCTTTCTAGAGTCTCAACATTTTTTTTTATACTGTTGCGACCAAAACTGGATGCAATATTCCAAATGTGGTCTTACCTAGACATTAAAAAGCGACACTAACATTTCACTTCTCCTTAAAAAGACTAAGGAAAACCTTGTTGTTGTTGTTGTTAGTTGCGAAGTCGTGTCCGACCCATCACGACCCCATGGACAACGTTCCTGCAAGCCTTCCTTATGCATAAGTAAATTCCTTGCAATTATCCTGATCTGATCAGATCCCAGATGGTCTTATTTTTAGGATAAAGCTACCAAGTATCATGCAGAATGTTCTCAGTTTAGAAAATCTTGTCTATCTAATGAAAAGACAATCTAGATAATGGAAGAATTTGTGTCTTCAGCTGTTATTTGTGGCCATCATTTTCATTTCATCTTTTCAAACAAAATGGCTTGGCTTTCTCTTTATGCTCATGGGCACCTTAAGCCAGAAATGGAGAGCTAATTAGGAGCAGCATAGTCCTTCTGATGTGTGCGATCAGTTTACAACCCCTGAAAACAGAAAATGGCAAAATTTTAAAAATTAAAATAGTACAACAAAGATAGATTTAAAAGAAATAGGTTTCAGAAGGGAAAGAGTAAACAAAGGAATAAATACTGTATAGGTCTATCTGAGATGAGAGATTAAATCTCAAGAAAGACTAGTTTAAAAGAAACTGGTTGAGGAATGTGCAAAATAAAATCAAATGCTAATACCATTCAGTCAAATTATTCATTACACCCAGAGGTCCAAATAGATTAGATTTCTTTCTATTTCCTCAAGATTTCTCTTCATATTTTGCAGGAAATCTTTTCTTCTGGACAGCCATCTAGGTAAAATCCAAAATAGATGATGCCACCAGAAAGTTTAATTCAAAGGGATGGAGGATGGGAAGATGTTTGTACTCAGGGATCACCCAAATGATCCTCCAGATTTACTTTTCCAGAGGTAGAAGGGATTCTGACACATTCTGGCCTAACAGGAATCTCTAGAAGGTTGAATTGCTGCAGGTGTCCACATTTTATTTCCCTGCCTAGTTCTCCCATGATACGAGTGTCTATATGATTCTATGGGCTTAATGGGGAAAGGCTGGCATGCATTTCCTCTCTCCCTTCACCTCTCAGAAATGGCATATTCTACTCATATGCCCACGTCTCAGTTTTCCTGGCATCTTCCATTCCTTCCCTTCCCTATTTCCTTCCAACCACCTTGATCAGGGTTCCAGCACAGCATCTTGCACTGCCTTCTATCCTCAAGCCTTCTACCTTCAAGCTCCAATGCCTTTACTTCCTTTCTCTCCTCCTCTTCCTCCCTCTGCCACTGCTGATAATATCCCATTCCACCAGTCTGTTTTTTCCTAACCCAGTGATGGCGAACCTTTTAGAGACCGAGTGCCCAAACTGCAACCCAAAACCCACTTATGCATCTTTGGATGGGTGTGGCCCATTGGGTGGGTGTAGCCCATTGGGTGGGCGTCGCTGCAGCGGTAACGGCAGACTGGGTGGGACTAAAAAGTTCAATCAATTCTAACCTTTTTTCTTTTTTTTCCTGCGAGAAGTTGAAATTGACTGATTGATTGAACCTTTTTTTTTTTTGCACACGGCGGCAGAGGCCTAAAGCGAAAAGGTTTTATAAAACCCAGCTGAAGGCCTAAGACTGAGGTGACGGCACGCGTGCCCACAGAGAGGGCTCTGAGTGCCACCTCTGGCACCCGTGCCATAGGTTTGCCACCACTGTCCTAACCTTTCCAGCACCCTCTCTGTCCTCCAGCACTTGCCTTAACAGCTGCTAACCCTGACCTTTGCCTACTCTGACTTTTCCCCTTAAAACACTTGTGCCCGGAGCATTGCCTTTTCTTCCTAATCCAGGACAAAGCAGCCCCATTTTGCCTATATCTGGACTAAATGAATGTGTTTGGTCTGGAAACAAGGTCCTTGACAAACCATAGGTTCCATGTTCTGCACATTCCTGTCGTATTCTTGATAATCCCTTTGTATGGAACTCTTTTTATTCCCTTAAGTTTAATAAAATTATTTTTGTTCTTTTAAGCCTCATCTCCAAAAATATTTTGTTGGATGTGTCCCTCCTTGGAATATTCAGAGAGACAACCTCTTACTTCAGAGAGCAGTTGGACAACTACTTCAGAGAACAGTAGCAGCCCAAGTATCACCCCTTCCTACACTGATCTTCAATCAATAAATACGGAGGATTTGACTAGTGGAAGAGCATCTGCTGCAGACTCAACTGGTAAGCGACATATTTATTTATTTTATTTTATATTTTATTTTATTTTATTTTATTAATGTATTTGTAGGTTTTATCATTCCAGACAACTCTAGTCATAATTGGCCAAATTTTGTTGAATAAACTTATATAATTCAGGATATTTGTTTCCAGTGAATCCCCATCATAAGGAAATACTCACACTTCAGGCGGTGTCAAGTAAGCCAGTTTGTCTTATTCCTACATTCTGGATGCTGTTATTCCAGTTATCAAAGTCCAGCAATGAGATGGCAGATGTTGAACATGTGTGTTGAACTGAAGAAGCTTCTTAAATGAGAAGCGAAATGTTTTCATAGAAAAGAACCTGAAATCCAGTTGTCTTTTGGCAAAGCACCTTTTGGATCTCCAGCTCTTCCAGTTAAACCAGGATAGCATTTTTCCCCATTAATAGGTGGTATAGGGATTGGATCATGAAACATGAAGTTAATTCTTTTCCCCTGCCATTGTCTCAGTTAATTTAGTTTTCCATTTCTATATATACACTGACTTTTTAAAAAAAAAACAATCAAAATACATATTGGTGTTAAACAAATAACAGATGTATCCTGGCCCTAAGATTAATGTTGGAATAAAAGAGGAAATGAAGACCAAACATTATTGACTAGAAACACTGTGGTTTGATATTTCAAATAAGTAATAGTAATGGGACCCTGTACTTTGCAGCACCCACCTGCCTACATTCACATCCACTCCTGCTCCTGCTTGCACTTGTACCCTCCCATACACCCACCCCATCCATCTATAGTGGTCCATATTGAATGATGCAACTGTTGGGATTGCCATCGCTAAGCAGCACGGTCATGTGACATTGCACTTTACAAACACATTGCTTAGTGATGGAAACTCTAGTCTCAATCACTATCATAACCCCAGTAATGTTGGATACCTGGTATGTTGGATACCTGGTATGTTATCAAAGTAGGAAAGATGCTCACCTTAAGGCATGCATAAAATGACTATCAATATTTTGGTGAAATTAAACTGTTCATTCATATGCATTTTTTGGGGTTTTGGAGATCATTCCATTGTGGTTAATTCATATATAGTTAGTATGATACATTTTACAACATAAGGATAGTCATTCATTGTCTTCAAGTTGCTGACTATAAAAGAAGTTTCGTTTAGGTTTTATAAAAATGTTTTATAGGTACAGAGTTTGAAAATACGATCATTAGCTATGTGTACAAATACATTATGTAGCTATTTCCTATTTCTCTCTTAAGTAGTTTTCTTTGGATAGAAGAAGATGAAAGTACAATGGAAAAATAAAGGAGAGGGTTTCTTTTTTTTCTTAAAACAAACCAATCTGTAAAATTCTAAGAATAAAAGGGTAATTGGACAATTATACGCATCTAGAAACATGCTGAAACTATGCCTGAGAGCAAACTATCCCTGAATAAAGACCAACTGCATCTGCAAAATACAACTATATACCGAATAATATTTATGGTGCATAATCACAGCATCACAGCATGCTAAAACTTTATTATGAATTTAATATGATTGATGAATTTTCTGTAGTGATTGGAGATCAGAATTAACAGTAATATTAAGTGCTTATATTGTTCTAGATCCAAGGCAGCTCTTCACTTCAACTTCAATTTGATTATTGCAGTGACTTACCCATATAAAGGTGTAATTTTCCATCATCAAAACAAAGCAAAGATCCTGCTCTGTCCCCAATAACTTGAAGGAAAATGGGGGGAGGGGACAGAATCTGCTTACTGAAATAAGAAAACCCACTTAAGGTTGTTGCATAAAACTGTGGGAAAGAATCATGAGATCATATTGGTGAGAAGCAGAATCATGTGGTTTAGCACTGATGGGAGGTTTACAGAACCAATTTTAGAAGCAGCTATTTTAAATGATAGAGGGCTAATTAGAAGCAGATTTTGTATAAAAAGAGTAGAGAGTCATAGAAGAAGGGTTGGGCTCAAAAGTTGGCTTACTTGTTCTAACAGAATTTGTTGCAATTCCCCCACCCTTCCTTAAAAAAAGAAAATTTTGGTATATTCCACAATCTGAATATAAATTAGCTTATATATGAGGTATACACAGAAGTCGTAAGGTTGTCAATGTAACATTTTAATATTAGCCAGTTTTGAAACATCGAGGGATACAGAAAAAAAAAATAACAGAGTTGATAGGAATCGTGGAGGTGTTCTAGATCAAGTAAGAGATTCTATACTATTCCAGACAAATGGCTGTCTAATCTCTTCTTAAAAACCTCCAGTGATGGAGCATCCACAATTTCTGGGAGCAAGTTGTTCCACTGATTAAATTGTTCTCATTGATAGGAAATTTCTCATCAATTCTAGGTTGGATCTCTCTTTTATAAACTTCCATCTGTTACTTCTTGTCCTACCCTCAGATGCTTTGGAGATTCCCTCCTCTCTCTGACAGCCCCTTAATCCTAATCCTAATCCTTCTTATCATATGCTTTAGCCTCCAGCCCCAATCATTTTTGTTGATGTTCTCTGCACTTTTTCTGGAGTCCCAACATCTTTTTTGTATTATGGTGACCTAAATTGGATGCAGTTTTGGTGAGTTTTTGAAATTTTGGAGAGTGAGCGAGCTGTAAACTATGAAGCAATCATTGTTTAGAATGATGAAATGAAATATTGCTGGATTTTTTATGTCCGAAAAGACCTTTTAAAAGTGTTTATAATCACAATTTGTTTAATTTTATCACAAAATGTAATCCCCCTCTTATGCCTTTGGATGCGTGACATTATTGGATAGTTCCTTTTTATGTGTGCTTATAATTTATGTAGTGATCTAGATGCAGTATATTATATTTTATTTATTTATATGGCTGCCCAACTCACACTAAGGTGACTCTAGACAGCTTACAACATTAGAAATCCACAACATAAAAACCATATACTTTCCCTCCCCCAATGGCAGCAGCAACACAATGAGACCAATCACTTGATATCAATCACTTAATATTCAAGCTGCATCTGGCATGGTAGGTGCTGAAAAATATTTGGACATGTTTTTCAATAGAAATTAAAATAATTGATTATATAATCCAGAGTTTGGGTGGGACAAATGGGAATCAAGAATTTGCTTCCCAAATGTGGAAGTTTCCACACTATTGTCAAAGGTACTCTAGTCCTTCCAGGATCAGAAATTGCAGGCTTGTTAATTAATTTACTGCTACTCTACTAATTACAAAAGAGTAATTAAGAAATTGTAATAATCAAGGGTAATTGTGTGATCAGTTGAGGGCAGTAGTAATTCTTCAGGATGAGTTACTTTTCTCACCAGTCTTTTGATTGGCCAATGCATAATTTCCTTTCATGAGATTATCAGCAGGATGGTGATTCATAATTAGATCCGCAATACCAGTTTATGTTTCCTCTGGAAAATTCCATAAGACTTGGAATTTTCTGGAAAACCCATGATACATGAGCAAAAGTAATCAGGACATTTTGTCCTTACACTTTCTGTAATTTCGCTTTACCTGACTTGTTTTGCTCAGTGTAAATCTAGAGACAAGGTGCTTGATCTGAAGTGCAAAACACCAATTAATAGAATAAACATGACCAGATAGCTAGAATATCTGAAACTCCATTGAAATAGTAGCAATTAGCAAAAGCAACAACTTGGGACGGGGATTAATTTTCATCAAGGTTAAAATAGACAAAAGAAACCTAGAATAGAACTTTAAAAATATTATATAATAATAGTCTTTCTGGCTGAGCATCAAAGAATGATAAAAAGAAAATGATATAATTCAGAAAAAAATGTGGAGACTTATCAGTCAGAATGAAGGCTGAACTGGCAACCTCTAGCTTTTCTCTGAATAGAAAAATACATAAAACACTTTTCATTCATCTCAATTCACTAAATGGCTCAAGCTTTCCTTTAAGTGAGAGACTGAGCTATATTTGAATGCTTGTTAGATCATGCATAGCAAATGTATTTAACTCTGTATTTACCTTACTGTATGTAACCACCACTTAGTAGTGTAGAATAATATTGTTCTAGATCCAAGGCAGCTCTTCACTTCAACTTCAGGTACTTTCCCACTTGACTAGATATACATAATACAATATAAACATACATACAATTGGTTGAAATTTGTAGAAGTATCTTATTCTAAGCAGTGAAATTTGTCACTTGCATATTTGCATTAGTTTCTCAAGGCTGTGTTGTGTATTCCTTCCATTGTTGAATTGACAGAAAAATATGTTACATAAATTGTGCTGCTCCCACAGCTCAGTTTTATTATGTTTTTGCCATAAAGACAGGAATTGGTGCTGTCCTTATTTCATGTATGAGTGTTTTGGTGCACTAACTAGTATTTTTTCCAGTTTTCTTTCTCCTTGCTGACAATAAAAAAAAAACTCCAATTTGCTGTTCTTAAGTTGTAGTGGGAGGGCTCTCTAGGTTCTCATTCCAACTTCACCCTATAGTCTTCCTATGCATCATAATGTTGATTTGTTTTGACATAGGACTGTTGATCCTTTGTCAAAACACTAAAAAATAAAATAACTATTAATCAGGACAAAGCTTGCAGAAACAGATGTGATTTTGCTAAAGACTAGTACATATTGAACAACAAACTTAGGAGAAATGACATAACTCAACAACTTGGAAGCTTCCAAAGCGAATAGTTGTCCTTGTTCTTTTGTGACTTTATTATGTCAAAGTGTCACTCCAAATGAGAGAACAGAAGCACAATCTGAGTCCAATGGTCAGATTTAAATCAATATTCTTTGGTAACATAGTTATCCTCCTCCCTGTTTTGAATCTCTTTTTGTCGTCATTTGGGAAAAATAATCAAGAAGCAAAAGCTGGCTTTGGATGGAGCTAGACTAGACTATTGTATGGCTGGCTTTGGATGGAGCTAGACTAGACTATTGTTAGGACTCTTAAGACGCCACCAACTCCCTTGGTACTGTAATATCTCACCAAAGCTACAGTCATGCCATATATTAAGTTGAAACACAGTT